ACTATGATGGACTCCACCACAACTAATTGTGGGCCATTGCCACCCAGTCTAGAGCCCAAACTGAACACTCCTAATTCAGATGTTACCACACCCAGCCCAAACACAAATATCTCAACCACGCCTACTCAATACAATGGACACCAATCAGAAATGCCTTCTTCCACGTCCAACCGATCACATGACATACAAAGCCACGTGTACTGCACGACAGACATGGAGGCTAGCTCATCTGCACAGTCAGACCAAGCCCCAAACAAAATATCCGAAAAAAATATTAACCTAGCTCATGATGGCCCTAAGCTTTCTGCTACCCCAAGCCCAAAGCCATCGATACAACCTATTCACAACTTAAACACTCCTCACTCAGCCCAACACTTATCACACACGTCAAATGAATCGCTCTCCTGTGTATTTACCCCTACCAAATTAGAATCATCAATTACTACATCAAATCAACCGCAAGAACTGACCACTCCCATTCATCACACGCCTGAACCCACTTCATTATTTCAATCTCATAATTTTAACTCCACTATTACACGCCAACATCCTGATAAAACTAAACAAAACCAGCATGAACCGTCTAGGACTAAATTATCAACACCGGAGAACTCTATCCTACTCCAACACACCTCTTCAAAACCACCCCATAACAATGAATCTCCAAATAAACCACCCTTGGAACAACCCACCACAGCACTTACCACCACTATACATCACCTAGTATCCCCCAACACAAACGTACCCTCAATCGTGGCTGGAGATGAGCCTACAAGACCATGCACTAACATTCATGATGGAAGTGGAAGGGCAGGAGGTGATACTGATGATACAAAATCTGGCAGACATTGCACAAATAGTAACGGAAGGCATGAGGATGGGGGTGGAACTTTACAACCAGTATTCATGGGCCATGCATCCACCATCCTCAATGCAACATTTTCAAACACACACACTACTCCCACCACTGTACTACAACCAAACAGCTTTGATAGATCTTCCATTCTATCCACCACAGGTTCCATCACACTCCCCGGTTCCATGGATATAACAAAGGTCATCTCTATTCATACCATCCCCCTTGCATGCACAAGCAGCACCGTACCAACCCACTCCAGTACGTCCCCAGCAAGCAACTCCCAACGGACTCGACGAAATAGAACAACTGGAGGTGGCAGCGACAATGGCGGATATCAGGAAAACACGGCCAATCCTTTGCTTCCTCAACAACAACAAATATTACGACCTCAAAGAACACTATGCAAGAAAGGTGATTATCATGTGCCCCCAGGAGCATCAAAGCTGCTCACTAAATCTACGCCCAACAAACAATCCAGAGGTAGGAAAATACGGACTCGTCTTGATACCCTCACTGAAGGCACCAACAATGACCCAAGTGGAGCCACAACAGACTCCACCAACAACAACACCACAAAGTAATCAAATGCAGTTCATAATTTGGAATTATCGCTGAGCACAGTCACAAGACTTTAAGAGAAATTTTCGATCGTTACTTAATTACCATCAACTACTGGAGACCCACATCCAAGATCATGTTCATCTGAAGGAAGAATTTGGGTTTTAGTAATATGGCAGAGGCACCAGCTCAAGGACAGTCGGGGGGCATAGCCTTGCTGTGGCATCATGATTTGCTGAAACTAGAACAAATAGAAGTATCCACAGAAGCAATACACTCCATTATCCAGGTACCACCTAACCCTAATAGTTGGTTATTTTCTGTTATATATGCAAAAAATGATTTACATGCACGTAACTGTCTGTGGGATCATTTGAGGACATTGCATGACAATATTAATATGCCTTGGTTTATAGGCGGTGACTTTAATGAAATAACACGTGCAAATGAAAAATATGGAGGAAATCCAATTAATAATTCAAGATGTGATAAATTCGTTCGTTGTCTTGATTACTGCAATTTACTTGACTTAGGGTTTAGAGGAAGTAGATATACATAGAAAAATAAACGAGGTCTAGCTGATAGAATTCTAGAACGTTTAGATAGATTCGTATGTAATTATGGATGGCTCAATTTATTTCCTGAAGCTAACGTACAACACCTTCCTAGAACTCATTCGGATCACTGCCCCTAACTCCTAAATTTAAAGCACAAATTCACTCGTAACAAAATTTTCAGATTTGAAACAATTTGGACCTCACACCCATCCTTTCCTTCTCTTATTACTAATAATTGGACTCTTAATAAGACTTTATTAACTGCTATAGAGGATTTCACTGAAGAGGTTCAGAATTGGAGTCGACATACTTTTGGGAACCTTTTTAAAAAACAAAAGAAAATTCTAGCACAACTAAATGGGATTCAGTCATCTCCTTCTTATCCAACTAGTCACTTCCTTCAAAGCTTAGAACAAGACCTTACCACTGAATTTAATCAATTACTACGACTGGAGGAGGATTTTTGGCGCCTAAAATCAAGAGTAAATTGGCTTCAACAAGGGGACGCCAATACAAAAATTTTTCACATCACAACACTTCAACGTAGGAGACGGAATAGGATCACTGCCCTCAAAGATCTAGGGGATAACTGGATTACAGAACAAACGCTGGTAAACTCTTTAATAATTAATTACTACAAATCATTATTCACCACCTCTCACATAACAACTCTCATCAAGTTGCCTAAGCATGATAGTAATACACTTACTAATATAGATTAGTCACAGCTGTCAAGAACTTTATCCATTCAAGAAGTATATCAAGCCATACTTTCTTTCCAACCTCTAAAAGCCCCGGGGACGGATGGGCTACATCCTTATTTTTACCAAACATATTGGCCTCAAATCTCACAATCAGTAATATCATTTTGTAATGACGTTTTTACATCTGGGAAAATACCAATCCAAATTAATACAACCTATCTATGTCTAATTCCTAAATTTCAAAATCCTTCAATGATCACTCAATATCGCCCAATAGGCGTTTGCAATACTATCTACAAAATTATAACTAAAATAATTGTACGTCGTATAAAATCATTAATTGCTAAAATAATTAGTCCAGAACAATCTGCTTTCCTAAAGGAGAGAAGAGCGGCAGATAATGCCATCATAGTTCAAGAAATTTTACAATATTTTAGAAAGAAAAAGGGTAAAATTGCAAATTTTTTAATCAAACTAGACCTTGAAAAAGCCTTCGACAAAATGGAATGGGGATTTATTAAGGAAACTTTACATTTCTTTAATTTCCCACATAAAATTATCTCTCTTATTAAGTCTTGTATAACAACTGCTTCCATTTCAATCCTTATTAATGGGCATGCTTCACCTTTTTTCTACCCATCAAGGGGCATTAGGCAGGGTGACTCATTATCTCCTTACATCTTCATCTTATGTATGAAAAGACTATCAAGACAAATACATCAATTAGTGGATTATCAACAATGGAAAGCTATCAAGCTATCCAACAATTGTCCTCAAATATCTGATCTACTATTTGCGGATGATATCACCTTAACTTCTAAAATAAGTACCTCAACTGTACACACCATTATTGACACTCTAACAATGTTTGCACAAAAATCGGGGCAAAGCATAAACTTTGAAAAATCTAAAATATATTTCTCCAAAAACACTTCACAGTTAGACAAAGATTTTGTCCTAACATCCTTTAACATGAGGGAAGGAACTCTATTTGGAAAGTATCTTGGATTCCCTTTGTTTGTGAAGAAACCAACTACAAATGATTTTCAGTATATACTAGATAACTTCAAAACAAGATTATCTGGGTGGAAATCTAACTTTCTCTCAGTGGCGGGGCGTACTACCTTAATAAAATCTACGTTGAACACTTTACCAAACCATGTAATGCAATACATCAAAATACTTTCACAAGTAATTCAAAGAATGAATCGTTATCAAAGGAACTTCCTATGGGGTACTACAGAACACAAAAAAATACATTTATTATATTGGACAGTAGTCCAAAGATCTAAAAACCAAGGGGGACTAGGAATTCAAAATCTAACTACAAAAAATAATGCTCTAATAGGAAATCTAGTGTGGCGCCTGTTTAAAACCCCTAATTCACTATGGGTATCCATATTACTCAACAAATACAAACACAGAGAAGTAGTTTCAAACACTTCCTTTACATGGAAAAATATTTTATCAGGATGGAACTATTGCCAACTAGGATTAGTATGGCATGTTGCAAGAGGAACACATATCAATATGTGGGATGATCCATGGATAGGACCTAATACTATTCTCAAACATTTAGTCCATGGACCTTTAAACTCTCAGGAATCAAAACGTACACTTAGCCATTACATATCAAATAACACAATTGATACAACATCATATCCTTGAGCTTAACGGAAAGCATGATTTCACGGATCAAAAAAATCAATATACCTAAATTAACCAACCCTCACGTTTTTGATCAAATTATTTGGGGACTCACTCCAAATGGGCATTTCACTGTTAAATCACTATACACGGCCTTACAAGAACCAATAACATCCTATGCTTATAATTGGATTTGGAAATTAAATTTACCACCAAAAATAAGACACTTTCTCTAGCTGGTCTCACATCAACGTTTAGCAACCTCTTCTTATTTTCCATATAAATGTTAACCTATCAAGTACATGTAACCTATGCCTTCAATCCATAGAAACCATCAATCATCTACTATTCCAATGCCCAAACACAACCACAATATGGTCTCAATTTAATATTAATCATATCCTACAGACTTGCGACACACACATCTGACCACCAATTCAAATCATTCACTATCTAATAAAAAATACTCAAAATCTACCTTACAATCTGCCATCAAACACTCTTATCCCACACATAGTTTGGCACATCTGGAAATTAAGGAATCACAATCTCTTTAATCATCAAAGAAATAAATCACCCCCTTCGACACAACAATTGATTACTCAGGCAGCTGAATTTTATTACCTTAGTAAACAAAAAATAAAAAAGCAAACAGAAACACATACAGGTACACACATGTATGTCAAATGGCATCCTCCAGCTAGGGATACAATTAAACCTAACATCGATAGAGCAGCCAAGACAACCACCTCTACCAATGGTATTGGGGGAATATTCCGTAGTACATCGGGTCAATGTCTAATGGGGTTTATGGGTGCAAGATCCTCAGGAAATTCCACGTGCATGGAATTAAATACCTTATTACAGGGCTTACAACTAGCAAAGTTACATCAACTCACACCACTAGAAGTAAATGTGGATTCTACTGTGGTAATAATGATACTCAACAATGATAATTTACATTACTCATCCTCTTTAGTGGAATGCAGGTACTTACTTCAGCAGCTAGGTAATCCGTCAATTACCCACACATACAGGGAGCAAAACTACACTGCACATTATCTAGCTCAATATGGTTCGTCTACAAATGCACAAGTTAACGCAACTATCTTCACTCAGCCTCCAGATTTTTTGTTGCCACAATTGGTGGATGATCAAAAAGGCACTGCCTACCAGAGATTAGTGAAGTCTACATGTACGACGGATTTGTCCTATAACCCTACCCTTGTGGCATATGATCACTCAATTGATCCACTTTTTGATTACAACTCTTGTAATACTATGCAACTGGCTCCTTGTAATGTTACTGTTTAATTAATATAAGTTCTTTTGACGACCAAAAAAAAAGAGATAAAGCCTTCTTTTCTCTCTCTCTCTCTATATATATATGAGCTTTTGCATGATTAACTTTCTCCACTTAATCAACAATGTCCGTTTCTCTTGACTCTTTTCAACCTTAAAAAGACACTTCCTTTTTCTTCCTAAAAGTTGAAGACTCAGATCTGCTGGTGTGGAGAATGAGATCTCTTCAATAGCTTAGTGCTCTAGCGCTTCAATTTTCTATTTTAATTGATGAAGTTAGTTTAAATTATTTTTATATTAATTTAAAAATACACACTATTGAAATTATGCAGAATTCTAACGGTCATATTTGTTAGAAACCCCACAATTTCAACAACTAATTACCAGCAAGAAACACCAGATAAGGATTTCCTTTTATCAATTAGCATGAGGAAAGAACGTCTCTATACCTACATGTCAAGTCATTAATTACTGTATACTTTCTAGCATGAGGAATATACATCTCTATGCCTACATGTCAAGTAATCTGTTTCACAATGAGCTCATCAAGTACACACAATCTTAGCACACTCCAAGTGCCTGGCTCAAATATCCCAACAACATTACCATGGTTCCATCAAATACTCACACTTAACACTGTACGGGTGCCTGTCATAACTGCCCATCATCAAAGCACATATATTAAATACTGTGCATGCACCCACTGCTGGCATGCCAGACTCTGGAATGGCGGATCCTACCAAAGCGTTAATCATAATCATCAATTAGCCCAATAGTGGGGCCTGCTGCATACGTAGCCTCTAATAAGTACAGGTTAGCCCAATGTGGAGTCTGGCCTACGCGTCACCTCAATATCAATATAATCATTGTGGCATGCAACCCAGTCCAAATATCAATATAAATACGGCTCTATGTCCCACATCAGTCATCAATCCGCTTAAGTCTCAATTTGCAAATATCTCACAGAAACATGATACAATTATATCACACGGAATATCACAATATGCCTTAAATATAGTCCAAACTTGTGTCACGTACAAGGACACCAATAACATGTGAGATAGCATATCAAAAGTGCACAGAGACAGAGATATAACATGCAGATGTAACTATCATGACTGTACAGTATGACTACGGTTAGGGCAAATAGCTCAACATGGCAAAAATAGCCCTATCATGTCTCAAACAATAAATAGGTAGCGTAAGCATGATTTCTAGCATGATTAATATCCCGCGTAGTCACATAAATGGAGAAAACATGATATTAAAGGAAGCATGACAGCAACACAAGGCATACAATAGCGTAAGAACTACGCTTATCATAAATACTTCGATGCACGCACTCGCGGCCGTCACCTAGCACGTGCTCACCCCAATACATCTTTTATAATATAGTTCCCAGGGTTAAATACCCTCAAATCCAAGTTTAGATATGTTATTTACCTTGAACAAGCCAAATTCAATACCGAGCAAGCCAAACAACATCTAGGAATGCCATCCCGCGTAAATCAACCTCCGAATCTCTCAAAACTAACCAAAAGCAACTCAAAATATCAAATAATGCCCAAGAAAACAATCCCAATCGATAAATGATATGACCCTAGATAGTCCGGGAAAAACGAAAAATATTGAAGATGACCCCGAATTATTTGGTGGACCAATGACCCGCTCCAATTCCAAGAATGCCCGAGGGATGCATGTTGGGGAGCTTCATGATCTTCAACAATTGACTAATAAATAATTGGAGAATCACTTGGAAGATTCATGCAAAGCATACCATGTTTGGAGTTTTGAGAATTGAAGAATCAAGACCCCAAGTCAAACCGTGTGACACTGTTTCACCAACCGTTGGCTACGGTTCAAGAGGGGCCTAAAGAGCTGAAGAAAATAAGCTTCTGAAATTCGACACGGTTCAGCTGCGCGTTACTGTTGGGGTTGCGGTTGAGGCTACGGTTTGGCCTGACGAGTTTTTTTGGAAAATTAACTTTGAAACTTTTCCTATTTTACCCATTGGGTATTCATTAGGACTTAGCATATTTTGACATAAGAAAACTCTTGAGAGAGATTTGGAACCTCTTGGTTCGATTCGACTTTTGATTACTTGTTTTCAAGACTTGGGTTCTTGAGGGTAATCTTCTTCTCTTTTCTTTATATTTAGGGTTCTAATTTGTCGTTCTTGGGAGGCGATCAGATAGTTTTTCGATTGTTTCTTGAGACGTTCACTTAGGGTTCTAGATTTTCTTCTAAATTTATTATTCAGACTACTTTTAATTATCTTAATCAAACCTATCATTAGTTTTGCTTTAGTTATTGTTATTTTCATATTTTGCTATTTTATTTATCTCGGATCGTATCAGTTGGTATCAACGCAAAGGCTCGGGTATTGTTCTAACAAACCAATGTTCCCAGTCTTGAAATCAAGATCCGAATTATTAAAAAAGTATAGTTCTTGTTTTCGACTAAACCCTAGTTGAATTGATTAAAAAAAATTCTTAAGTTTCAAAAAAAATAAATTATGGAAGTGTTCTTGTTGATTGTTGGGGGGGGGGGGTGTGATGACCCAAAAGGTCATCACTTGCTTTTAAATTAAATTCTTTGTTTCCGAGGCCTTGAAAACCTCATTTAGAGTCACCTCAATTTGTGTGCGCAGTCCGGGCGCGTAGCCGGAAAGCTTAAATATGAAAATCTGTGAAAAATGATAAAATTTGGCTAATAAATGAATTAATTTGACTTCGGTCAATATTTTGGGTAAACGGACCTGGACACATGACTCGACGGTTCCGGAGGGTCCGTAGGAAAATACGGGACTTGGGCGTATGCCCGGAATCGAATTCCGAGGTCCCAAGCTCAAGAAATAAAATTTTAAAGGAAATTGTTTTCTGAAATTGTTTAAGGAAATTTGAAATGAAATTGATTAGAACATGTTAGTATCGGGCCCGTATTTTGGTTCCAGCGCCCGGTAAAGGTCTTATATATGACTTAAGATGTTTCTGTGAAATTTGGTGAAAACGGATATCATTTGACGTGATTCGTACGTAAATTGCTAAAGTTGATACTTGATGAAGTTTGAGAAAAAATTCTTTGATTTTGAGGATTTATTCGTTGTTATTGAGGTTATTTTAGCGATTTGATCGCAAGGATAAGTTCGTATGATGTTGTTGAGTTAGTACGTATGTTTGGTTAGGAGCCCCAAGGGCTCGGGTGTGTTTCGGATGTGTTTCGGGAGGCTTTTGGAACTCAAAAAATTGCAGGTTTTTGGCTGTTCAGTGCCCAGGGATTTTACCCTTCGCGTTCGCGTGGTCCCTCTCGCGAATGCGTAAGGCAAAAATCCAGGTGCCCAATTTTTTCTTCGCGAACGTGAAGGTTGAGACGCGAACGCGAAGCTGAGGGGGTAGACCCTTCGCGAACGCGTCCCTCCACTCGCGAACATGAAAGGTTCTGGGGAGGGATCACCTTTTTTGTTCATCACGAACGCGGCCACTGGCCCGCGAACGCGTAGGCTTAAGGAGCCAAAGCTCCGCGAATGTGAGCCCTGTTCCGCGAACGCGAAGGCCTAAAAGGCCTGACTCATCGCGAATGCGATGGGCCTGTCGCGAACGCGATAAGTGTTTTTGCCCAGTTATTTTAAAAGACCCAAAACAGTAGCATTACGGGATTTTCATAAAAGTTCATAAACCCCTTCTTCTCCAAAGCTCTTAGGCAATTTTTGAAGCAATTCTTCACCATAACCTCTTGGGTAAGTAATCTTTAACTTGTTTTCTTCCCTTTTCATCAACAACCACTAGATTTCTAGGCCTAAAACATGAGATTAAGGGTAGAAAATTAGGGATTTGGGTAGAGTTAGGGCTTTTTGATAATTGTGATTTAGACCTCGTTTTGGGGTCGAATTCTAAAAATAATTATATATTTGGGCTCGTGGGTGAATGGGTGATTTGATTTTGGTCCGAACCTCGTGTTTTGACCAAGCGGGCCCGGGATCGATTTTTGGGTTTTTGGGAAGAATGAGTAGAAAGCTATAATTTGGCATTGGAATTGAATTGTTTAGCGTTTATTGATGTTATGAAGTCGATAATGTATAGATACGATCGATTTGGAGCCGAATTCGAAAGGAAAGGCGGTGTTTGAGGCTTGAGTTGGCCGTGGAAGTTTGAGGTAAGTGTTCGGTCTAACCTTTGCTTGAGGGATTAGGAGTTGAGTCCTATTTGCTATTTGTTTCTTGTTGAGTACGACGTATAGGCATGGTGACGAGTATCTATACGTTGGTGTCGAGCATGACCGTGAGTCTTAAAGTGAAAATTGTTATGTTCTTAAATGATACTACGGATGCTTTAAACTAATGATTCTCGATCTTGAGTAAGAATTGAGTTTGTTTCGTGGAAAGTACTTATGATTGGGTATTTGGTGTTAGCTGAGATGAGTAGAAATTGAACTAAGATTGGTTATAGCTTATTCTCCCTTGCCGGGATATTTGTCTTGATATTGTTGTTCCCTTGCCGGGAAGTTATTATATTGCTTTGTTTCCCTTGCCGGGACTCCTTGTGATTTTGTGTTGGCTTGTGAATGGGATCGGGTGGTACGCCTACCACGAGATTTGATAAAATGGGATCGGGTGGTACGCCTACCACAAGATTTGATGAAATGGGATCGGATGGTACGCCTACCACGAGATTTGATGAAATGGGATCGGGTGGTACGCCTACCACGAGATTTGATGAAATGGGAGCGGGTGGTACGCCTACCACAAGATATGAGAAATGGGATCGGGTTGCACGCCTGCAACAAGACGTAGAACCGAAGAGTGAAAGTCTGTCATTTTGTTTTCTTTATTCTTGTTTAGTAAAGTTAAATTTTTAGGTTTTCTTAGTATTAATTCTCGTTTCGTAGGTTTTCTCGTTTTCATTATAGTTTAGTTAGTTATTACCGTACGACAGTCGTTTCCCGTTCCCTACGTTTTTACGTTAATTGTTTGTTCTAGTTTATTTTCCCGCTGTATATATATATATATATATATA